CCACCTTGAAAAAGTTGTCTTTTTCTGATTGGTCTCTCAGCAATGTCTCAACCAGCTCCACAAATGCTGACTTTGAAATCTCCACCTCTGAATCTTGGTCCTATCACAAAGCAAAGGAGGAGTTTATTAACACAAATGAATTATCAGTTTTTAATTAAAACGTCTCTCCTACTTAAAGCTAAGGTAGGTAAAGTTGGAGATAGCTAGATTACCACTGGCAGGGTGCGTGGTAGGTAGGCCAGCCAATCATTTTCATTTGGGCCGAAAAATGATTGGCTGAGTTTATTACAGGCAGGGGTGAGTCATAGTTACCAGATTATTTAAATTTTTTCAGAGCATTTGATTTATTTAGGGCTGTTGGGATGTGAAGACAATTTCAACAAATACAATAAAAAAATGATGCAGTCTGACACATTGTTTCCAATATGTAATAAGCACATGAAAATGACCTCTCTGTCTCTCTAATTTAAAGCTACATTGTCCTCAGGTAAAACATCCTGCCAATAACATGGCATACCTCTTCATACATGTGGCTTGTTGCCCTCTGTTGGAAAATGTTAAGAAGATCCTGGATAGCTTTACAGTCAACTTTATCCATCCCCTTTAACAATTCAAGGATGAGCTGAAAAACACAAATGAAACCTTTATGCTTTCGCTCTCATAATAAAAGTGTTTGACAGGCTACAAAAATATGAGCTTTACTTGTGGGATCCTGCATCCAAATAAAGAATGTTAGAAAAATGAAAATAGCACAATCTTATTTATGAGCAAAGCTGCATTTAGTTATGTTTATTAGCATAGTTTGAATGAAGCTGTCTGTTTTAGGCATTTTATTGTACATGCATAAACTGATAATCACTACATGTCTATTCTAAGAGCATTTTTTTCCGATTGCAAATGATACATTTTACCTCAAAGAATTACAATTATAATTCTGCACGAACACATGGTGATATGAACAAGTTGAAGGACATCAGTGAGGTAGAAACAAGAGAAAACCTAAAGTGTGTGGACAGTGCATCTGCAAGCTGTCACTGTCTCCTGAACCCTTTATGTTTTGCACCGTTGAAGATGTGCAGGCAAGCCTATAATTATTTGCACTTTGTGTAATCATCTCAGCTTTCTCTCAACAGATAAATGATTCCAGGAACAGATGCCCACAGACAGTCTTAATACCCACATTCACTCACCCGAGCTCTCAGTCCCAGGATGAGCTGAGTCCTCTGTTTGTAGCTCATAAGCTCTGGGACCATCTCCGACACTAATGTGATGAATTCGGCCAGTTTGTTATACTGGTCTACGTTTCTCTTCTGGGCCACCTGCCACATACAGGCTGACATCAACCTCAGAGGAGGAACCAGGAGGCGAAGAGACGACAGAGGAAGATCAGGATCTAACAGAAGACACGGGCAGAGAGAGGCTGTTCACTTAGAGTCAAGTTATGCATCTTATGTCTGCTATACACACTCAAAAAAAAAAGACATTCAGCAATATAAACACTGCCACAGCAACTGGAAACAACTCCACACATCAAGCACTTACACACACATCCAGCACAGCTCTATAACCTTAATGCAGCCTTTAACCCACCAACAGGAGGCGCTGTTTGGTTGAGAACCAACCACGATAACTCTAGCTACAACCCTCCCACTAAACCCAGCTGGTAGCGGGCTGAAAGAACAGCTAGAACCACACATAAGTAGAACCATCCAGAACCACATACAGACCTCGATATGTGACCACCATTGTAGGAGCGCGTTGAGACTATTGCAGCTATACGTCAGCTGTATGCAGCAGAGTTGGAAGTCTAGTTTTATGTTAGAGTACGTGTGCACGGGTAGATCCTGTGTGTACGGCTGTCATTGCATACACACAGTTTAAAGTGTCATCCAGCGAGATAACGCGTTGGAGGACTTCCGCTCTGCCAGCAACAACAACATTGGATCTTCCGGAGGTTTTCTTCTTCTTCTTCTTCGAGGTTTAACTGCAGTTTGCATCCTCGGTTTTGCGTCACCGCCACCTTCTGGAGTTAGTTAACTCCTAAATTACTTATTTATTTACTTGGGATACATTATATGGTATTAATGTTTTACACTCTAGTTGACCTCCTAATTATTCCTAGTAGGTTCAAATGTACGATTGTCAGATGACTGCACCGTTTGTATGTTTTCATTGGTATTTGTGTTATTGTGTTATCTGTTGTTGTGTTTTTTGTTTGTTTTTTTTACCGTTTTTCTCGTTGTACAGCGTGTTTGTCATTATCAACTCATTATCATTATGATCTATTTTCTTCATTTTACTCTTACTGGCTTTTATACTGTCTTTGTACTGTTTTTTCTCTATCCACTTTGCTGCTGTAAGATTAGATCCATTGTGGGCCTATTAAAGGAATATCTTATCTTATCTTATCTTATTTTAAAACAGTAATTATAAAGTATTTCGTACTTTGATGCAACACATTAAATGATAATGCAAATCTACGTTTTACAACGGTGGAAGAGACAGAAAAGATAGATGATGTTTACATGTGAAATCTTATTTTGAAAAATGGCAACAGACTCGTCAGCTGTGTTCCCATAGCAACCACGAGACTTCCGTTATGCGTCTGGCTCTTTCAGAAGAAAACCAGTCTGATTATTATTATTTTAATAACACTGTCTCAACGTACTATAAAGAAAGGACAGCTTACCATGTGGTGAAGGGATTTTGATACAGCCCATGAGGAGAATGTTGTCATTTGATGCCTAATTAAATTAAATATGCCACTTTTCTTTTAAAGGACTTGACCGGAAGTTCCAATGTTGATGTTTGCTGACACGCATGTTCTCCAAACCTAATGTATTCACTTTACAAACAGCAGTAAAACTATTCGACTCACTGATGCATGGGAGTTTGGCTTTCCAAAAATAAACGCTTAACAATTAGCATGTTTAACTTTCAACTCGTTAATGCCGGCGTACAGCTAACTTATAAGCTAAAAAAAATGCGGGTGGTACTTTCAGAAACTTGGCAGTGGTACTAAACACGAACATACCATGAAGGATTTTTCTTCATTTTCTTTTTCCATGCAGGTTCTTTGTTAGATCCTCACCTCCCCCCTCTGTCGTCGACTGTTCGCCTCCTGGTTCCTCCACTGAGGTTGATGTCAGCCTGTATGTGGCAGGTGGCTCTAGAGAGAAATGTAGACCAGTATAACAAACTGGCCGAATACATCACGCTGGTGACAGAGATGGTCCCAGAGCTTATGAGCTTCAAGCAGAGGACTCAGCTCATCCTGGGACTGAGAGCTTGGGTGAGTCAATGTGGATAATTTATGATTATTTTATGTGGAAAAAAGTTATAAATTGAGACACTACTGGACATAAATGCAGATTTGTTGTGCTTTTCAGATAATTTTGGAATTTCTAAATAAGGTGCATCCTACTGACTGCAATACTATCCAGGAACACCTTGATGTTTCCCAAAAGAGTCCAATAAAGTGCAAGGAGGAAGAGGTAGGGGACATTTGAATTAAATGTGGTTTTATTATTAGATAGAGATGCAAATATTCCATGTCATGTTTTGATAAGGGGTCACTTGAATGGAAAACTCAGGGTATAGTTATGAAAATAAACGTCTCTGGGCTTCATGACAGGATAAAGACGGAGAGGTGGAGATCAGCATTTGTGGAGCTGGTTCAGACATTACTCAGTGACAAATATGAAAAGGAGAAATGTCTTAAGGTGAGTACTGCTTCAACTATTTCCAGTGACATATCTCTCTCCATCTGAAACTGCTTATCCAGTGAATATATTATATCCCTTATAACGATGTAACACCATATATTTTTTCAATTTTCCGGTCCAAGGAGGTGTTCCCAGCACTGTATGGACACCGTTTTGATACAGCGCTCCAGATCCTGGTGTGGGAATTCTTCTACTGACGTGAAGAGTTTCTCCCAGTACCAAGTTTCTCAAAGGTAAGCTGCATCAAGCTGTTTCTAGCCCCCTTGGGACCAGCCATTGTTTATAGGTCCTTTTCTATTAAAAAGATATTTTAATTGTAGTAATAGTGTTATTTTTTATATGAAGTAAAGGTGGTAAAATAGTTTCTGAAGTAATGAATAATTGATTCACCTTGTACAGGTAGATAATGAGTCTCTACACAGTACTGCACAACAGTATTTTCAAATGAGGACTCAAATATTATGTCATGGTGAAAGTCATTTAATTGGTTCTGGCTGTGAAAGATTTGGTGAACTGCAACTGCGATTCAGATGTCATGAAGCTAAACACTGGAGATTTCCAAACTGAGAATGGATCGGAACATTTCATTGAACATAGCTTTTATTTCAGATACCCTCCATGTTCGACCTGTCTGCCTTTGACTTCCAGTTTGAGTTTGTCTCTGATCATGACGATCTGAGGAGGATTCTGCAGCATCAAAAGAGGCGGCAAAAGTTGAATAAAAGTAAAGGACTACAGTGGTGATGCAAAGATGAACGCCTTCTTACTGATGATTTAAAAGTTCCCTGTGGAGGTTTTGACCTCTAGTAGAAGAAGAAGAAAATATACTTCATTAATATATGATATGATATGGAGCTGTTTTTATATGAGTGTGTCTCTATTTTGTATGTCTTGTGCACTCACATGAGGATGCACATGCATTGGTAAAGCAAACACAATCCTACAAATGGTTTCAATATGCAACAACATATGCAGCAGGGAGCCAACAAAAGGAAGAAGACTGCTAGCAAGTAAACATTGGTGTAAACAATTCTGGATTCAAAATCAGCATTGCAAATGTTTTTTGTGGAAGGAAATGCATTCAGTACATTGCTTCGAGCTCAAGGATGCACACAATGTGTTTTGATAAGTGATGGTGAATGTAAACGTATGTAATGTTTGTAGATAACTCCACAGGGCATTTTAAGGTCTTGGCTAATACCTACCTGTAATCTAATCTGTTAGATGAATGTAGACTTAAATTTAGAAGATTTGTATCTATTAATGGCACTCAGCACCTCTCTTTGTATGAAATTCTACCTCTAACATCAATGTTTTCTGTTTTAGATGAGTTCTCCTTTATATCGGACACTATCCTGTCCACACTTGCATCTAAAGAGACGTCAGTGGCATCAGAAGATCACATTGATAGTTTAAGAGATGACTGACGACAGTTCCATTGAACCTGATCCGTCAAACTCATGGTCACAGGAGAGCAGGCTGTCACCGTTCACTTCCCCTCCATGTTCTGAAGAAGCTGGGGTGGCATGTGACAGTGGTGAGCATCACTAATTTAGAAGCTGCCTCTCTTTTTTTAACTTTGGTTACATTAATAACACTTAGGCTAAGCCTCACTGCTGCTGACCTTACTCAAAGCATATTGGACACATTTATTTAAAACTGCAAACTGGTTATATTGTAAGAATTCTCAGTGGCCATAGTGCAAAGAACCTTCGTGCCTGATTTTCCTTTTTTACCAGCTGCTACTTTGCTTTAAAAATTAGAAATGCGTGCTAAAAAGACACAACTTAACCACTTTTTTTGTGTTTTTTGTCTGCAGATCACACCAGCACATCATCTGACCTACCAGATGTTTACGAGACAGAAGTGACCCTCTCAGAGGAGCCTGCAGTAGTAGACAGTACCAGAGTCCGGGAGAGTTGCAGCACGGGAAAGTTAAATCTGAAATTGCGTTCCAGTGCAGAGGAAACTGAAAACCTCACCTGTCCTGTGTGTCGCAAGAGTTTTAGGAATGCAATAAGTCTAGGACATCATCTAAGAGCTGAACACCCAACACTAAAGCAGCTGTACCACTGACAAATGCGAAAAGACTTTCCAGACAAAGCGCTGTCTCGAGCAGCACTTTAAAGCTCACGCTACAGTGAAGCCGTACATTTGTTCCTACTGTGGCAAAGGGCTTCCATGTGCAAAAGTGCTGAAGACTCATTTGCGTCTTCACACTGGGGAACGTGCATATGCTTGTAAGTTTTGTGATAGGAAATTTGACCTGTGTAGTGAGTGTGGAAAAGCCTTTTTCAGCTCGACTGCTCTCTGGATCCATTCCCGGTTGCACACGGGCGAGAGACCATATCACTGCAAGGAATGTGGGAAAAAATACATCACGCTGCAAAGGCTAAAAGTCCATGAACTAATTCACACAGGTAAGCGTCCGCTTTCCTGCGCCCAGTGTGGAAAGGCTCGCGAAACACAATCACATTCACACCAGAGAAAGACCATATAAATGCGTTGCGTGCGACAAAAGATTTTCCTGCTCTACCAACCTGAAAATACATCTGTGAATTCACAAGACTACAAGACACCCAAAAGAAACTGCAGAGTGAGCCTGTCAGTGTGGGCCAATGTACTCTATCTGCTCTTTCATATGTGGAACATTGAAGGTTTGAACAGTTCAAGATTGATTTTGCATCTTCGGAGTTGTACAGCAATAAATGTTAAGTTTGTGAAAGCCCCACTCTTTAGATTATGTGCACACTGAATACTGTGCAACCCAAGACTTTGCCCCAACCACTGTACACTGATCTGCACATCTGGTATTTATACAGTGTATAAAGTGGTACAGTACATATGTGTACATCAGTAATCATTTCTGCTGTTGATGTTTTGTGCATATAAATATTTTGCATATAATATATTTGTTTATCTTGAGAAATTTACCCTCTAGACTTTGAACCTTGCTGAATAAAATGTTTGCA